CCCCCCCCACTTTCTCTGCTTTGTAACAAATGGATATAGTGTGCTTTGCCTTGGAACCTTCCTCTCAAGGTCACTTTCTGGGCGGCATTAAATCAAATGTTGACCATCTTGAATACCCGAACAACTGTTTATCGCTCGGCAGAGTAACGAACTTTACAGAAGCTACCAGATCAAATCGTATAACATAATATAACAGTCCTTTTCAAAATTGACGCGATGGGTCTTTTATTATCTTGATATTTTTCTCTATAGAAACCAACCCTGCTTAAGTTCTAAGATTTATTCTTTTTTCCGTTTTGCTTACGATCTGAATGTTTGTTTTACCCGTTTCCTAGTGGTATTCCTGCGTTTTTATTCAGTTTAGTTTAGTTTAGTATGGGGTTTTACGGCGCTCGCAACTGCATAAGGTCATATGAGCGCGCTACGTTTTTATTATTTTCTACAAACAAACAAAAAGAAGGAAAGAAAGAAAGAAAGAAAGGGAGAAAAGAAAGAAAATTCGAAAGCTCCAAACTACAGAGGGGGTTTTTTTTCATTCATTTTGAATATCTTTTTAAAATCTATTTTCCTGACAATGGTATGTGCGTGTATTTTTTTTTCTTTGGCTTTTGTTATCGACCACAAGTAGTTTTTCTATACTTTTTCATTGTTAGTTGTCTTCGTCATAATGTCAGGTCTGACATTTGCTGAATCTTTCATCGTTTGGAAAAATATTTCTTTTGATTTTGCAAGCCCTTTGTTTATATCTATTCGAAAAACTGAGCTGACTATTCATATGAAAACCCATTTCCAGTGTAGAGGAAATGTCAAAGAGGCTACAATACGACACGAGATAGTGGTGGTATAATAATGTTTCTTTTCAATGTTGGTTTGTGTCAGAGAACTTGAATACAATAGGCTTTTGTTTTCAGGAGTGTTTTGTTTCAATGCAATCTTCAGTTTTGTTAATATTTCACGTTCATAGATTTTCAGCTCATCAAACAAATCTCAAGGGCAACGAAATTCTGCTCATTCTTGTTTGACAGGCACCTCGCTCAACAATTTCATGCACTGACTGAATTTCTAACATCAAAATTTACATAAAACGTTTACAAAATCCCAAAATTTTATAATTATTTATAAAATGTGGACTGTATTTCTAACATTAAGGTTTACATAAAAGCTTAGAAAATAAAAACTTCATAAGTGTATCAAAAACACTGTGTGGGCCGCCCGCTGGTTAAAAACAGACAGGAAAAGACAAATTGTGAGGCAGCGTGCTGGAATCAGGCTCTCGTCAAAATAATCAAAATGAAGAAACTTGCATTTTTCTGCAGGTTTATGAATTTTTATAAAATTATTGTTTTTTGGTTCAACACCTTTCATGCCCATTAAAGTACTCATTTACGTGTGGATTTTCTTAAAAACGTCGATTAAAGGCACAAAAAAGTAAATTTTCAGTTATCATGGACTCTTAAGCTAAAGAAATAACTAATCTTTGGCGGCCATTTCTCACTAATTTTACCTCTGAAAACAGGTGACCCCCATCCCCTCCATTCGCAAATATCTTGACTTGTATTCAAAATAAATGGATTTTATTCATCCAAATAAAGACAAGTGAACAAGATTTAAAATGATACCAATAGCTCTACATGCCCAAAAATTGACGAGAGCCGGATTCCTCCACGCTGCCTCAAAATTCAGTTTTTGTGCCACTTGAATAAACATAAAGGCTTTGAATGTCACTGACAAAACTGAAGACAAGCGAGGCAGTGGTAGCCCCAGAGCAACCAACTTGAAAATCCTGAACAGTTAAGTGACTGGGAAAGATCAGAATAACGTAGCATTTCTTAGAGCATCCTCGCAAAGGAATGAATGAAGACTAGTAACCGCCGATGTTTGTCGCAGATTTGACACTTGATGATTGTATCCAAAACGACTGGCTGAATTTCTTCTTTTCTATTTGTAGCAATATCTGAGTTCTAACCCGATCATAAATACGTTTCTTCCTTTCGTCATATTATTATCATAAGCTGATTTATACTCATGTTTTTTCTTCTCTATTTGCAACAATATCTGAATTTTAAACACTATCACAAACACGTTTCTTCTTTTTGGTCAGACGACCAGACCAGAACGTTTCAAAACCTTCGTGTCAACTAATATTTCTCTGTTGGTCAACAATCAGGGCCGATGTTGAGCACCTTGGACGACTTCTGGTCCATGGTATGGTCACAGAACACGTCACTGGTGGTGATGCTCTCCCGTGTGGGGGAATATAGACAGGTAGAATCCGTGTTATAATTTAATGACCCATGTTTAAAATCCTTAGATTACTGTGGGTGGTTGGCGGGTGCTCTGGTGTGGTTTGCTCCTTCTATCCTATCAAACATCTATCTTCCTTATCTTCCCTTCTTCTTTTTTATGTTTGTTACTCTCTTGTAACACTTCTAATCTTCTGGCGCTCATATGACCTTATGCAGTTGTGAGCGCCGTAAAACCTCTACTAAAACTTTTAAAAACTTAGACTACTGGATATTTTTAAACTCTTTTTGTGTACTGGGAGAGCTAGAATTCATATTATAAATAATCCATATTTAAAATCCTTGGATTACTGGATATTTTTAAAACTCTTTTTGTGTGTGGGGACAGGTAGAATCGGTGTCTATAGTCCTTTGGTAACTGAATGTTTTTTGTCTCTTCGTTGTATAAGAGATTTTGTTTTAACAGTTACTGTGCTTTAGGCCGAAATACAATCATTAAAGCATGTGTGTATGTGTGAATGCACATAAACTTTGTATCTCCACTGCCATTGTAAATGACCAAGGCAAAGGTTTTCCCTGCAAGATGAATGAATTAACCTTATCATGCCATTTTCATTGTCATTGTCAAGTAATTTAGTTCAAGGTGTTATTTTTGTCCAATCTCAGAACCACAGTTACAAGTACTGGCCTGATGTTGGGGATAGCGTTGAGACTGATGACGTCATTGTCACCACCATTGACGAGGAGGAAAGAGCGAATTTCGTGACCAGATCATTTCTTCTGAAATACTCAAAGGTAAGTGTTGTGCTGTCGGTGGTCACTTTAGTTTAGTTATAGTAGACATTTTACGGCGCTCGCAACTGCATAAGGTCATTTGAGCGCCAGAAGATTACAGGTGTTACAAGAGAGTAACAAACATAAAAAAGAAGAAGGGGAGATATGGGAGATAGATGTTTGATAGGAAAGAAGAAGCAAACCACGCCAGAGCACCTGCTAACCACCCACTGTCGATGGTCAAGTGGTTAGGCTATCTGGCTTGCAACCGAAAGATAGTGGGTTCAAACCCCGTCTGGGGCCCGACGTTGTGATCATAGGAAAATCACTTTATTTGACTTTCCCCTCCTTTATCGTAGATGAAAAAGGGTATCCAGCTATTGAAGGAAAAACATCTTTGTCAGTTTGTAAGTGACTGAGCACTTAATTGGTTGCTTGCTTTTTATGATTCCTTGGTAGCTGAGAGTGTTTCTGACTGTTTCGGGCCTGCGAGGTACTAAGAGACTGTGAAGCGCAAAGAGCTTACTGTTTAGAGGGGATATGCGCTATACAAGTACTATTTATTTGTTATTATTATTATTATTATTATTCTATTATTATTATAAATAGTATTATTAGTATTAATATTATTATCATTATTGTTGTTATCGAAAACGTAATTGCAAAACTTACGAAATTGTATCCGTTTACCACCCCCAGTATAGCGGTAAATGGTCGTTTTTAAGGACAAATGGGCTTACCCAGATTTCAATGGTTTCCAGAAATCTTGACGTACACCAAAAGTGGGCATTGCCCAACCTATAGGAGAAGTTTGGTTTCATTGGTGTGTATATATTTGTTTGGTTATAGAGAAAACTCTCCTTGTCTTTTAAAGAAACTGAACAAGGGTCCGAAAACTTTACCTTCGATTTTCTCAAAACAGCATTTTTCGTGATAGCCCCCTTGTGCTTAAAAGCGACCAAATAATATTTCAACAATAGAAGCCATCCACCTAGTCCTTGACCAAAAATTGCATCTCTCCTCGACATGTAACGATACAAAAGGAGGAATAATGTAAAAGTAAGTGAGCAAAACTCTAAGGTTATTTAAGAGGCGGGACCTCGGATTTTAACGCCTGTCTCCCATCGGAACATAGAACCTGACAGAACCATCTCTTTTTTAATTTGGGTTGTCTGATGACTATACACAGCATCTGTCGTGCAGCAGTTATGCAAAGATCGTACATAATAAGATAGTTCACTCAACCAAAAAAGTGGCCGCGGAAGTCCACACAATGGTTCAGATGGTGCTGCAGTATTTGTTTTCAAGCTTTTTTTCGTTTCTCCAGAAGAATAGGAATAGCACAGTTTGTTAGTTTCGCTTTTGTTGTTTTTCAGACAAGTATAGTAACTTTGAACGCAAAGCTCACTTTTTGAATTGCCTCAAAGAGAGGAGTGAACCATCTTGTTATGTACGATCTTTGGTCACACGTAGAAAACCCGACTTCGAATCCAGTGTGGGAACACTTTTATCGAGTATCTCGGTTTTTCTGCTGCAAAGCTGTATCCCGCTCGTTCAGCCTGGGTTAGCCCTGGCAGGGTTTTAAATGGTTCAGTTCAAAGGTTCATAAATAAGAGCAGTGATAATTTCAATAAAGTAAAGGATATTTAGTGTTTAAAGTTCATCGGCGCCACATTACCGTAATAACCAAACTCGAACCTCCGTAGCAATTTTTTCTTCACACTTTGACTAACAAGAAAAGGCACGTGGCCCATTTCTAGTTCACGACGTTCAGTGTTTTAAAGTTGGTCAGCGTCAAAGATTGTACATAACAAGATGGTCCACTCAGCCAAAAAAGTGTCCGCCGGAAGTCCGCTCTTTGCTTCTGATGGCGCTGCAGTCTGTTTTGAAGCTTTCTTTCGTTTCTCCAGAAGAAGAATAGGAATAGCGCCTCCTTGCGTGCGCTGATCGACTGCTGTTCATCAGTTGTTCGGGTTCGTTCATTGCGGAGTTTTAGGTGGGTTTTTTTATTTTATTGACCTCGCGCATTTCTTTCTAAAGTCAAATTAATCGAAGAAAACAGTCACTCCTTCGGGAAGAGTTTTTTGTCGGCGTAACCATTTTAAAAAAGCGTTCTTCTTAAATTTGAATTCTTATTTGTACAAAAACTTGTTAGTTTCACTTTGATTTTTTAAACACAAGTAGGGTAACTCTGTTCGCAAAGGGAGCACATTTGCGAAGAGGGCGCCACCGAATTTTGAGGACACTTTTTTTAATTGACTCAAAGAGAGGAGTGGACCCTCTTGTTATGTAGACTCTTTGTCGGCGTCACATTACCATAGTAACCAAACATGAATGCGCGTGACTTTTTTCTTCACATCCAGACTGGCAAGAAAAGACACGTGATCTAATACCAGTTCCCCTTAATCCAGTGCTTTAATGTTCGTCGGCATCACGTTGCCATAGTAGTCACAAAACATGAACGTCTTTGACATTTTTCCATTCCTAGTTCACGACATTTAGTGCTTTAGATTTCGTCGGATTCCCAATATCATAGTACGCTAACCAAACTTGATGGCTCTTGACATCTTTCTTCACACCCAGACCTGAAAGAATAGACACGTGATCTCAAACAAGTTCGCATTAATCCAGTGCGTTAATGTTCGTCAGCATCAAGCTACCATAGTAGTCACAAAACATGAACGTCTTTGAAATTTTTCCAATTCTAGTTCACAACATATAGTGCGTTAAGGGGGGGGGGGGGCGCTACACCTGAAGGTTATCTCGCTTATTACTAGACCGAATTTTACCAACTTTCACACATATAACAAGCGTAGCAATGAGTCTTAAAAACCGCAATCAAATTTGAGAAAAAAGTTTCGTTTCCATGGATACGGCGGCGATATTGGATTTTGTTGACATGTCTTACGTAATGAATAACGCACTTACTGCTCATGGAAATTGATTGGTTTTTTTGCATGCGTGTTAACAAACATTGGATCTAAAAATGTGTTTGTTGTTTTGTTCATAAACGAATTTTTTTTTACATTTATGAATTTTTTTTCTGAGGTTCCATTCAAGTTTGCAAAAACCCGTGAAAATTCACACTCAAGACACCACCAACAAAAAAACTATTCCAAATATCAAATATTCAACAGACGTTACATCTTCTCTTCATTTTGTGAAAATTTCATGAATATTGGATGAAAAATGGTGGAGTTTTTCAAAAAAATATAGAGAAAAGTCGCGTTTTGAGAAAACGGCCGGTAAAGAAAACTATATTTTTGACTTTATGAGGAAATGGTGGTGATTAATATGCCCGGTATGGGGGAAAATACGGTATTGGGGTTTTTTTATGCGATGAAATAGTTGTAGGAGCGGCTGAGGAAGCTAAAAATGCCTACCACTCAAATTCCATAAGTTTGGGTCGAATCGGGGCTTTGGGGGTGTACCCCCCCCCCCCCCTCCCTTAAATTTCGTCGGACTCACAATATCGTAGTACGCTAACCAAACTTGATGGTTCTTGACATTTTTCTTCACATCCAGACCGGAAAGAAAAGACACGTGACCCATTTCCAGTTCACAACATGGCGGGAGTCTACATTCCCTCCTGTGCCAGCCTTCCTGCAGTTCTGGAAAAAGTTCAGAAGCCTCAAAAAGACAGGCACTCATCCCCCTGTTATACACTGCAGGTACGCTGTGGTTTTTGCTGTTCTGGACATCTACATACAAATGCTAGGAGGGGTGTTCAGTGGTCATAAGAGATGACTTGAAGACAAGTCTGCATAGTACTTAGAGCTTACAATGACAATCCTTATTCAAGTTTTAATTTTTAAAATAATTATTATTAATGCTTCTCTTCATCTTCTTCCTCCCTCGTTTCCTCTTCATGTCCCCCAACCTCGTTCTTTCTCGCTTTAAAAAAATTTTTCTTCTCAAATGTTTTCCTGCATCGTATTCTATTTTGAAAAAGGCAAGAACGAAGGTGATGATGACCACAACAAAGACAGCCACAAAACATAGACAGCAGCAGTAATGCCAGAAGCAATAGCATCCTCAATGTGCTGAAATGTGCGCGCACGCACGCACACACACATACAAACTGTAGCACTCAACGTACTCCCCAGCAACTCACTCAACTATTTCAGTTAGTGACAGCATGAACAGGAAGTAGTACACTTGCCATCACCAATCACAAATATTTTCATCTCTGGTTACCCCACCACCCCCC